ATGGGGATTCCAAGTCGTGTTGTTTTTGTTATTTTTTAGTAGTAAGCATGGGCGCTTAAGGGGAAGCTAGCACTACATTTGATATTCCTTTCCTTGGTCTCTTGCGCTTTCAGGCAAGGGTAGCTCAAAAGTAAGAAGGTTCTTAAAAAAGACAAGCCTTTCATCCCTCCCTTCTTGGTCTGCTCCTAGGATAGTCGGGTCTAGGAATTAGGGGATTTACTTACAAATACTAAGTTCAGTCAGGAGTACTTCACTTCTAAAGCAAAAGCTTAAGCAGCCTTCTCACTAGTGAATGAAGTAAGTTTTCTCTCTAATATCATAGTCTCAGATAGCCCTACTTACTCTTCGCTTGAATATAGTGAATCTGATCTGGACTTAACTGAAAAAGCACTGTAGGTAAACTAGTTCCTATGCTTTGATGGTTTTGGGTTATAGGTTTTATCGGCTGGGCTGCTAATCTATTTTTCCAAGAAATCCTCCGAGAACTAGAGATAACCTTCTTTATTCCTAAAGTATGGCAATTTCTATATACTCAAATTTTATAAAAGTGTCCCCAGGATGCGGATGCGCTGCGCCGGATGTCGAAGATGGCATTTTCTTTCGCTAACTCTCCTTTTGTTGTAAAATCAATCCTTTCAAAAAGTAAGAATGCTATAACTCATAAGTCTAATTAGAATTTGGAGAAGAGCTAAGTGAAAGGTAACTTCTTTAAAATACAATAATATATATTCATTAGAAATAAGATAGTTCCTCCATAAAGGAGTTCAAAGAGACAAGAACCTATTCTGGCAGTCCTGCATATTGGAGGTAAGCAGGTCTAACCTTATGGATAGAGCAAGGAGAGTAAACTCCCTAAGTAATATCTTTCTATTATCTGGGCCCTATGATATTAGATCCTTAAGCCTCCCCTCTTTATATTTATACTTTTAGGGAGTAACTACTATAAGAAAGGCAAAAAGAGGAGGTTTTACCTACATAGGGTGCTGAACCAGGCTCTCCAAGTTAACTGCATCTATCCCATGTAATGGCACTCTCAGCTAGAAGGGTTGTACAAAAACTTTCAGCTTGTAAAGGCTCTCCCAACTCGAAGTAAGAAAAGATACTAATATACTGGCTAGTAAAAGACAGGGGTTGTAAGGAGAACCCAATCCCTCAGGAAGGCAACTGGGAAACCATTAGCACTAACTTACAAAAAGCCTTACATTTTTTCTGCAGCTTGCTCTATAAGTAAAAGAACTTAAAGTAACTACTGAAAGGGGTATTGGGCCTACAGAGCCAGGTAAAAACTTTCTCTACTGGCAAGGCAAGGAGCCCTTCCACATCAAAGGAACTTAAGCTTTCACTGACCCCACAGGCCTTTTTTGCTATAAGACGAGAAAAATGCCTTATCGCCAATGATGCTAACCATACCTCACTTGTCTTAGCTGAGTTAATGGTTCAATTAAATCATACCTGCCCAGACATGTATAAAAAACCAATTACAATCACGCCACCGGATGACCTAAAGATCGCGTGGTTACGCCTTAGGAACCGGATAGGCATATGAATATCTTTCCTTTAGACAAAATATATATTATTTATAACCGAGATAAAGGATACCTATGAATGAATGCTATTCCGCCGGTCAGCTGTCAAACCTCTCGCATTTAGGAAATGCTTTCAGGAAGGGTGCCCCTACATTGGTTTTAACTCATTCCCAGCTGCATAGTGCCATCCTACCAGCGGCTCCGTCTCGCAACTTTCCTTTCCAGCTATCACTCTTTTAACCACCTTACGAAATTTACTTATTTAACATATTATATTGTACATGGGGAAGTCAAGAATGATAAATAGCGTAGATAAGAAAGGCGTCGTTAGCAGGATTAGGGCTTCCCATATATTTCATTAAGAAAGAGCAGTACGAAGGTTGATTGAAGTGTGAGTTTTGCTATCCTTTTTCGACGAAGTTTAGATAACCATTTGGATGGATCAAGATGAATCCTCCAAAACATGGATAAGTTAGATCTCCTGGTTTTATCAGAATCAGATCTCCCGCTAGATTGAGCTTGTCAAGACAACTCAACAGATAGTCTACTTCAATACAGGATTGATTAGACTAAGTTGGGTAGTCGTCCTAGCTTTAGATTCCGTCCTGGCATTCTTCGATTTATAATATGGGGTGAAAGGCAAAGTCTTTATTGGACTCGTTTTTATTGAAGGCATGGGTGTCCCAACCATCTTTATTGTCGACACTTGATGCGGGGGTTTAACTTCGAGTACGATCCAGCTCCATCAGTTGAGTTGAAAGCGGGACAGAGTCCTTATCGCTTGCTAGGCTAGGGGGACGGTTCCTCATCATGAATTAGGTCGGGTTGTCTCCTTACTTAAGTCCTTCCTTTCGTGAAAAAGATTCTTTCCCTTCCTCTTCCGAATGGCTAGCGACTTTAGGCGCACGTGGTGGATTGATCATCAAAGAGGTGGGCGAGTTATTATAAGCTTTCTGTCTTTTTACACTCCCATCACGCCCTGCTAGGTTGGTTTCAAAATAGAATGCTAACTGCCTTATTCAATTACCGGGGTGGAAATGTCTTAGATCTGAAGAGTCCACTTTCACCCTTTCGTTAACTATGGCATTAAGTCACGAGGGAGAGCCTATTTCTTTTTAGGCCCTATTTTGTTTTGTAGGCATGGAACTCACTCGCTCTACTAGGCTTTGAAGTTTAGAGTTATTCCTAAAATAAAAAAAAGTTATTATAATGAAAGAATGGCACAGTCTGATAACAGTGATGGTATACTATCTCTTATTTAGACTGAAAACTGTTCTGTTAGACTATAAAGGAAGAGTCGTAAGGTTGACGAAGTCCTTACCCCGACTTATCCTAGTGCTACTCCTACAACAACAGCTATCTACTAGCAAGACTACTTTAATAAGGAAAGTAATCCTAGCACTAGGATAAGTTAAGCATGTCTATCGGTCGATTTCCCTCATGCTGTAAATAGAACAAGATCTTCTTATTCATTCACGGTCTTACTTATAAATAAAAGTCGAGAAGCGCTCCAACCAAATAGTAAATTTCGATCTTTCTTCTGTTATGATATATCTCGCATTTACATACTCCTTCCTCTTCTTGCCTGATACAGAGAAGAAGACTTCAAGCACAAGCATTGATCGACCTGTGGGATTTCACTTATGTCAATATGATGGATAAGAGGAACTTATCTATGAGCTAGAGGAGTGAGGCTAAGCTATATGCTACCCTATCTTATTATATTAAACCTGAAATGAAAGATCTTGAGACTGGGCTGGAACAAAGGGATACTTATCTCTTTAAAGGTAGCCGGCTGCTACTAAACTAATAATAATAGAACTCCTTTTTTAGGAAAGAAGACAGGTGGGAGTGAGCCGAGCGAGAGCAAAGCAAGTTCCAGTGGTGGGCTGGTCGTCCCCCATTTTAGACATAGTAAGAAGAGTAGCAATGCTAGATTAAGATAATAAGGGGTAAAGCCATCACTCTGCCCTAAGCATTGAGCTTACGCGAACCAAGCTGCGAAAAAGACTTTTTTGGTAGCCGTCCTTCCATGCCAAGCCAGCACATGGACCGGATTGGTATTCGAAGGGGTTCCCCTTCCTCTTCCCCTTCCTCTTCCGATTCCTCGGACTCGGACTCGGACCCGGACCAAGAGGCTTGGACTATGAGCCCGCTTAGCAAACGAGGCTCGGGACGGGGCCCCTCTCGTATCGTAACGTTTGTAACTCAGTGCTCCATACGGGGAAAATGAAAACAGAATTAGTTCGGATCCTCCCACATGTTCAATCTTTTTTTAGCGGTTTCCCCAGAGATCTTTATCATTAATGCAACCTTCATTTTGCTCATTCATGGAGTTGTATTTAGTACCTCTAAGAAAGATGATTATCCACCGTTAGTCAGTAATGTGGGTTGGCTTGGATTACTTAGTGTTGCGCGCCTAGGAGGGCAGCGCGCTTTGGGATGCGGAGGAGCGAAGCAGCTCGAACGAATGTGAGAGGAGCGAAAAAAGCCCAGCTCCCTAACCTAATGCGGCACCGGGTTCGGACCGCAGGGAACCGTAGCATGGGAATGGGAGGACGTCTAATCCTTTTGCAGCCGCAAGGCTGGCTAATCGTACGCAGCTGGCTCGAAGACCCCTGGTTCTGGAAGGCACATGAGTCCGAACGCTATGTTGAATGTGCGACCGACACTACACTACGTAGGTACCTGTGCAGGTGAGGCGTCGGTCGGTCCTAGAAACGGCGGCAGCGGCGCGAGGAGGACCGGACGTGCTGCAACCTAGGGATCACCAGGCAGCTCTTTCGCTCTATAGGGATCGGGGGGGCATAGCACAATTATTCTTGGAGGAGGGTTGGTTTGCCCGGGTGACTGATCCTGCCATAATGTACTCCTACCTACACGCACCGGCAACCGAAATCGAGCATACATACGACGATCTTCATGCGTGAATAGCCGGGAGGAAAGAAAGGGCGGTAGATGATAATGAAAAAGGGCGCCGCCGTCTGGACGGGCGGAATGGATGAGCGAAAGGTGCCATGGAGTGAGGAAGATCCCGAGTCTCATGTAAGACAACTAAATAAACCTCGAGGTGCTGCCGAGGAACTGGGGGACCTTCTCGAGCACAGGATAGGCAATTGAGAGATAGAGTTAGCCTATTAGTTATGGGGAATCAATGCTCCGGGCCGAATAGAATAGAGCTTACCTCAGGTAATCACACCTGGCTTTCTCCGGCGCATATTAGCTTAGCTGCGCTTAATAGGCCGGTTTCTTTGGCTTACTCTCTGGCGTGGCGGCCACTTTCCTGACCTTACCCACGCTACACTCCCACTCCAAGCAACGCCTGCTGAGAAAGATGCATTGCGATTTCCTCTTCTGTGGACGCACCGGAATATGATCCAGGACGAGAAGAGAAAGACTTTTATGGCGGGCTTTCTCTCGTAAAGCCAAAGACGCCCCAAGACAAGGGGTAAGGGGTTTACCAGATCAATAGAACCTGGCTGGATCCGGGCTGGGATAGTGACGCCCATTCCTAACCAGTTTCGAAAAGGTTCGCTCATGCTGGAGGGAGCATCCCCACTTAGTGATAGGTCCGCTAGTTCGCGCAAATCCGAAAAAGTTATCACGGACGAGCCACATGCAGGGAAACTTGCACGTGTGGTTCTGGCCGGGCTTTCCTGAGGTATCTAATAACCTTGCTTCTGCTCGCCGCTGGCGCACCTCTCCTAACTATTGCCCATTTATTCCGGAATAATCTTTTTAGGAAGGACAATTTTACATATTTCTGCCAAATCCTTCTCTTATTAAGTACGGCTGGTACCATTTCGATGTGTTTCGATTCTTCCGAACAAGAGAGGTTTGATGCTTCTGAATTCATTGTATTAATTCCACTTCCTACTCGCAGTATGCTCTTTATGATCTCGGCTCATGATTCAATTGCCATGTATTTAGCTATTGAGCCTCAAAGTTTATGTTTTTATGTGATGGCAGCATCAAAAAGAAAGTCTGAATTTTCCACGGAAGCCGGCTCGAAATATTTGATCTTAGGTGCATTTCCCTCTGGAATCTTACTGTTTGGGTACGACCGGACAACTACCGATATCTAAAAATCTCCTTTCTTAGCTTAGAATGTTGTTGTTAAATATATTATATATCGGATCGGGTATTACTTAGATGTGAAACTTGCAGACCTCATTGGTGATCTTACGGGGGGAACGAAAAAAAATAAAATATAAAGACTTGTAGAGACCCTCTATGTAGTTGTCTATCTGAGGCGATCGATCTACATCTTTCCTCATAGCCCTGGGGCTGTGTCTCGATCTCCTACGTGCGAAATCTGAGGGACTAGTTCCTATGGAGATTCCCCTGGGTCTAATTCCACGCCTTATGACGAAAGGAGAGTCGGCGTGGCGTAAAGTGAAGATTGAGGGAAATAGATAAAAATTCCCTTCTGGGGTCTTCCGAAGGTGTAACCTAGGCAACGAAAGAAAAAGGGGCCCGATACTTCAACTAGAGGAGCGACCAGTTGGTTCACCAAACCCCGACCCAGCGTCACACGTTCTCCAGGTCCGAAGGGATCCAGTGCCCAACTACCGACTCCTTCCGGAATTGCGTTATCGTAGCCGAGCCAGGAATGGCCGTTAGTGGACACCCACCACTTTTAACCGGTTAGAGAGGCCCTCTTTAATACATTAATAAAAGATGTTCACAGGGGCCAGAAAGACTCGGTCATAGGAACTTAGACCGCCTACGCGCTGGTAAACTAAAACCACCTCGACCGGATCAGAGTAAACAACAATGTCGAATCGCCCCTTGCCTTGAAAGAATTCACAGGCGGCCACCTGCTTTCCCAAAATAAATAAGGGGAGATCTGCTGCTTACTGCTCACGGAAACATCCGACCTATACTATAGTAAAGTCGTCCGCGTATCTTTCTGATCTCTCTTCCTTCTATTTATAAGATTTTTGGCTTTGACTTCTTCAAGGTGAAAAAAAGAATAATAAAGGAGCGTAGCAGCCAGAGTCGCTAGAGAAAGAAATCCCCTCTTCCGCTTAAGGCACCGAAGTCCCACAGCTAATATCAATATAGGAGCAACTCTCTGATCAGTTTTCACAAATCCTGAAAGACTTGGGTAAGCGCCCTGTAGGGGAAGGAGAGGATTTACAGGATTCAGTTAGGCAGTTAAAGGGTTACCCTTATATATTTCTTATTTATAAAATAGGGTCAGTGCACGGAAGACTCCCCACTTCTGGGACACACGGCGCCCAACCTAATAGGATGAGTCACGCAACCCCTAGACCAACTGTCAGATTTCCCCCTGATGGTGATCTCCTTCCAACCTTAGATCCTAGAGCGGCACTTGATGATGGTGATCATTTTTATGAGGACCAACCCATAGAGTTCCAGTCGGACCCCATACTAGGGTTCCAGATAGACAGAACAGGCGTTCACCACAACCTCCTAGGTATGTATGGTCATGAGGATTTAGGAGACATTACTAGGAGAGTCAAAGTGGATGTCCCTGAATATGATGGAAAGTTGGGACCCTAATCTCATATCTTCAAAGATTGGTTGGATAACATTGAGGACTATTTTGATTGGTATGGCATGCATGTCTGACATAGAGCGTCTTCGTTTTGCCAAGATTCGGAATCGGAAGAAGTGAATAGGATCAGCCAAGAAAGATTGGCACAGTGTCCAACGCAACTTAGGGCGTCTAGGTGAACCACCCATCACTCAGTAGGCAGTCATGAAGCAGAAGTGGAAGGAAAAATACCTCCCCACCAACTATAGGAGTCAATCGGTTGAACAGTTGTAAAATCTTAGGCAATCGACGTCTAATGTGTCTTACTATTAGGCTCGATTTGAAGAGCTTATGCTTAGGTGTGAAATTGATGAAGAGCCATTCATTTTCTTAGTCAATGGGGCAGTAGGTTCGTCAATGGTCTGAGGGTAGACATTAAGAGGGAGGTTATACTGTACAATCCTGAATTATTTAAATACGAAGCATTATCGAGTGCAGTCCAGCGCTTCTTATTTTAGGGCTATTTGCCCTAGTCTTTTAGCGGACTCAAGGACAGATTTTCTCACCAGAGTAGGATCAAAATAAAAGATGGAGAAGGTTTTCCAGTCGAGCAAAGTTAATCTGCGGTCAGTAAGTACGGCTGCTCTAACAGCTCTTCCTATTAGTTCAGCGGGTAACTGTCGTCATCGAGGAGGCCAGTCTGTTCTGTCTACCAGTCAGTAGCTAACCGAGACCCCTGTTGCTAGCTCCAGCTACTTAGAAAAGTCAAAAGATCGGAACCGAAGGCTAGGGCTCTTTCCCAATCACCAAAGATCGATTCAAAACAAGTTAATAGGATGTAACCTTTCAGTTACGGTTCAAAAAGGGCCTTGATGAATGATAGAAAGGAGGGGGGAGGGATGGGCTGCCAACCGAGCTCAGAAAGCGAAGCCATCGCATCCAGTTATTCCAGTGGTGTAGGAATCTGAACCGGCTCGGCTCCCTTCCTTATGGTCGAGCGGATTCAATCTTCTTCCCGAAGTAGCACATCTGAAAGCCTCGTATTTACAGGTTGCGGGAGCTAGGCATGAGGGTAGGGACCTCTTTCATTCGTAGCACGACATGACATAAGCTACTTCTGGACAGGCAATAGATTCTCTCTTTCCAATGGTCCTAGTTCAGTTAGCCATAGCATAGTGAATTCGGACACAGAGGAATGCAATTGCGGTTCAAAGACACATGGTATGACTAGCGGCGATACATAATGAGAATAGAGGCGATGAGGATGGCGATTGAGGCGTGAAGGTAGGGTAGGTAAAGGTTTCGCAGCTTGGTATTCCCACATTCGTATGATTCAATGTCGAGAGACTCACCCACCGAGCGGGAGTAGGGACTAGGAAAGAAGCCTATACTTCTCTGCTCTTCCAACCAAGTTGGACATTTGAGCAGCCTTTTCATTTGGCGGGGATCTTACTCGGTCTCCTATGATTCTTCGGATGTGACAGAAAGAAATAGGTGGCTATGCAAGGGCCTAATAAGCCATTGAAGACTAACTAAGCCCAATCCAGCAGCCTCCATAATGGCTCCTATTCAAGAGGAATTTTGTTGAGCTAGGACCTTAATCCTATAGGAGTTCAGTTCCTATTCCCGAAGCTTCTCTATTTGACGAAAGGGGGGCTTGGGCGGCTGAAGGACGGGCTTTCAACACAACAACCTCCCGCTCTCTTCGCTACCACCTATCAGACATCAGACTGACTAGCTGACCTACCCGTGCTGACCTAATCGCTGACAGACTTTTTAGATATGCTTGCTTGCCCGATAAAGCTCTTTTTCCTTGCAACTCTTTGAATCCTTAACCAGAACTTTTTCTGCTCGGCTAGCTGCGCCTTCCCATTGCAAACCAGACATCTCGCCTTTATCCTTAACAGCCTGCTTTGGTTCTCCGATACCTCTTCTTCGATACCCCTTCCCTTCTTCAAATGCCTTCCTTAATCAACCTTCCTATAGACGCAAGAAGCTCATCGCCCTTCTTTCTGACATCACTACTCCTACTAGCATAGCATCATACTGGTCCTTGACTTCCCCTCATAGAAGAGAAAAAAAGAAGTTAATTTCTACCTTGTCCAATCACAATCATAGGACACTCCTTTGTGAGAGAAGAAGGAAGTTGACTAATCGACTAGTGCCCCTTTCCTTATTCTAGGTCGTCCTGATCTATATGCCACCATAAGACTTCGAATACGAATAGAAGTGAGAAAGAGAATGCCGCCCCCATTTTGTTGCTTCCAAACAAAGAAAAGGGCTCATTGCCAAAAGAGAGCTTGCTTGACTGGAGAGTACTTGAAGATAGAAGTAGAAAGAAGGTCGGACTGATCATTTCGAGATTCTTGATTTGAAATTGCTTTTTCTTGGTTGGTCCTCATACTATAGGCCCAGGTGGTCAGGTGATTGGTCATCTTATGTCGACAAAAAAAGTTCAATGACTGAGTAGTAAGTAGATGGAAAGACTCTCTCGAGAAGATCGACCTCAAAGCTCTTTCTGATGCCTAGGGCACTTCCTTTCTTTCCCCTTCCCCTCCAGTCCTTTCACCCCTTTTCAATCTGAAAATGAAGAATGTACAGGAACTGGTTTAACACAAAGGGTCTCGAACTGAACTACAGTGATCTGATACTTGGTCTGAGAGGTCGGTTATGTAGGCAACAACTGTTCCTAGGTTGCTCGATCGCAAAAGGAAATAATAAAAAATAGATTAAGTAGTATGCCTGATATTGCCAGAAGACCTTCTCCCTTTGGAAACTGGCTAATCAAAAGGAGGCACTTTTTCCATTTTACTTTACTTATCTTTGAAATTATCCTCTTTCTTGCCTAGACTAAAAAAGAGGGAGCATGCCTAGAAAAAAATCAGATATTTCACTGTAACCCTCTCTTACGGAGAGTGGACGGAATGTAATAGAACTCCTAGCGAGAAGGCCCGGAAATGGCTCGCAAAGATTAGGAATTTTTCTCTCAAGGGAAGGAACTGGCTGAAGAATAAAAGCAACTCCTTCTAAAACCCCGAGGCCACGGGAGATAGAAAGACTACCCAGTACAGCAGAGAGAGTATACTTGATGGTAAGAGCTATAGGAGCCCTACTTAAGGCTTCTACAGCATAGTAGATATGTATGATATTCGATAATAAAGGGGAAGCAAGGGAA